TTAAGGTGGCGAACGGATCGGCTGTAGAGTTTTCGGACGAAGGAAGTTCAAAACGGAGTAGACAGAATCAGTGGTAAGAATTAACACTTTGAGGAAACAACACTTGCCAATGTATTAGAATAGAGACAGCGAAAATCTATAATATTGTAAGGTAATGCATTCAAAGCGAATGTCCTAGCGATGGGAACGGTGTAACTGAAACTGCTCCTTAGCACTTTGCCTCTCTCACATAAATTATATGAAAATGAGGGAAAGAAGCTAAAAAGGAAGTGGCGGAAACAGTTTCGGCAATGAAGTCCTCAAAGAGAACGAATGTGCGGATGGATGTGCGAGCATAATTTATGGCCTGCATTTTGAATGTAATTGGAATTTCCTGTCTATTGAAGTTATTTATTTCTCTTCGACAGAGCATGAAGTTTTTTTTAGGAAACAAAACTGAATTAATTTCCTGAACTAAAATGTGAAAGCCGAAAAATTTTGAATATACGATGATCGGATTACGGCAAAAAAACTACAGTAAAAATCTTCTAAAGTAGATAAATTTATAGAACAAATGGATTTGATTTGACCTTACTTCTAATAATGTTATTAAAGTGGTATTGAGATATCTTCCGAGGAGATTAAGTGCCTACTTTTGTGAATATGCGATCAACAACTGAAAGCAGACAGTTCAAGTGTTATTCAACGTTGCTGAGGTATACTCGCATACTCAGTAGAATTATATACTTTGATATCCTGCTAATTTATAGTACGGTTCTCCAACTATGCATCTGGCAACTTGTTTATTTGCCTTGGCCAATCCTTCTTTGCCCGATGGTCAGCTTGCTGATGACTCCTTGGTGTTTACTTTCGCCTATTGGAAATTTGGACGGAAAAGATGACCCATGGTTAATTCACTCACAAAGTTTAGTTTTCCAGTTTGGGTATGTAAAAGCTAAACCAAAGAGAAGGTAAAATTTTAGACATCAAAAGTGATTTGCAAGTGTTTCAAATTCATCATACCAGAAACCGAAGCGGCCGTGCCGTACGGAGAAGCCGAGATAATCGTGACCCTGAAATTTCGATCGAACACCATGCAGTTTCGGATCGACGCCCATTGTCCAGCGATCGCGATTCATCGCAAATATGTCTTTGGGATAGTAT